TATTTTATTTAATAGTTAAAGAATAATTATACTTGTATCATATATATTAAGTTTATAAATTAATAAATAGATATAAAAATCTTTTTCATTTGATGAGAACAAAAAGTTCTTCAATTAAACACTATTTAGTGAAAAAATTAATTAGTGCAGATATGAAGATGCTTAGAGTTAGCAAAATAAAAGATGGATTCAAAGATTATTCTTTCTTTAATCCAAAGGAATTAAATTATTCATATCAAATAGTAATTCTTTTACATTTTTAGAAATCAATAAACAGAATATTTTAGTGAATATCATCGAAACTATCAATACTAAAAACTATTTATAAAAATGAATCTTTAATTTCTAAATAGGTTTATATCTTGATTTTAATAAAAGATTCTAATTTGTACCTTGTAAATAATTTTCCTTATAACTTAACTTATAGTACCTTTTTCCTAATAAAATAGGTTCATAATTTTTTATAAATAATTAAAATTAATTAAAGATAAATAAATATGATCTTCAAACACCTCATAGGTACGAATTAGTTCAGAAATAATTAGTGATTATGATTTAGATTAATAACTGTAATAAAATAATAGTCTTATTATTTTTCGTTTATTATTCTAATCATTACTTTAAAAAAGTGATTATTCATTAATTTGTGAAGTTGAATTAAGAATTTAAATATTTTTTGTAAGGATCAATTTTGGAACTTGAATTCTATTATATAGTGGTATATAAAGGCAAAGTAAAATTAGAATCTGGTCTACCAATGCTTGCTCATAAATTGAATATGTCTCTTTATGATTAAGCTTAGCTTTAATATCATAATTTAAGTAACGATATCATGAAATAATTACTTTTCTAATCCTATTTGCTATAATCATTTTAATTTTATTTAAAATTATCACCTAAAATAAACCCTCCCTCCTCCCCCTTATTAGATTTAATAGAGTCTTAATCTTATTTAAATCTAATGGATCCTAAAAATGAAATATTATTATTCTTACAAATAATATAAATTAAAATATAATCATGTATCATGTAAGGGTGATGTAATTTGTTCTGAATCGTTTATATAAAGCATACTTGATCTAATACGAGTTTAGTCTTCTTCGATTTTTTCTCTCAAAGGTTAATGTAAAGTTTCTCTTAATGGAAACAATAGTAAAGCACATAAAACACAAATGATCCCAAAAGCAACCATAGGATGAACATTAAGAGATGAGCATAAATTACTTAAAAATGCTTAAGCTATACTGCCAAAAGATCCGCCTGCTGATATTAAACATAAGGCTAAAGATCTAACAACAGAAGGAAATAGTTCAGACACATAAATATAACCCAAAGCCCAAACTGCACATATTAGAAATCTCATTAACTATTATAATTATATATTAAATATACTCCTGCCAAAATGCCTTCGAAGATTCGAAATACTATGTGATCACTTTAGAAAAGGAAATATAAGCTCATAAATCCTACTATAAAGAACCCACTTATAATATTAGTTTTTCTTTTCAATTTTGTAATAAAAAAATCTAAAAATATGTATATATATTACCTAAAGTAGCAAAAGCTAAGAGTTCAAAGAAAGCAATAATGAAATTAGTAGTGAAGAAATTAAGACCTAACTAATCACTTACAAAACTAATTCCATAATATGTCACCTTTATTGCAAAAAACATCATTACTCCTGCAAAAAATACATACCTTAAGGATTTATATTTCAATAAATCCAAAATAGAATATACCCTGGAATTGTTCTCTTTAGTTTATGGATTATTTGCCAAATCATCTATTTTTATTTATTAAGTTCCATTTAATTTTGCAATTTAATTTAGAATCTTTACACATTTTTTCTTATTTTTTGTATATAAAAATTAAGGAGATTCAAATATCAAAAGGTTACCAATATTTAATAAAACAGATGGTATTGCAACTGAAACTGCTAACCATCTCCAATAAGTAATAAAATATGCTAATGCTATAATAGCGAATTCACCAATTGCAAAAAACACTTAGACACCAACATTTTAGACTTCTCTAAAATTACCCTCTATATAATATATATAAATTACAGGAATGTTCATTAATAAATGAATAATGTACAGTAATTGTTGGATTACCTCCAAAACCTAAGAAGAAAAGTCCTATAGCTATCATCTAATAATTCATAGCAAACTTAAAGATTATTCATATAGAATACTGTAACTAAGAGGGCTCCAAATGAAGTCATAGCCCAAGAAATTGACAATGACAATTTTCTACCATAATTATCAGCTATAAATGAGAAAATAATCAATCCTGAGACAGATCCAAGATAAACAGTAGATTAGATTATTGATTATAGAGTTTTATGACAAGGTAATAAAGCATCGAAAGCTGTATTTAATGATTCACCAACAACAAATTCTCTACGTATTGAATCATCCTAAATTATTAAAATCATTTACACAAACATAATCTAAACATTTCTCATCTAATGATTCAGAAGAACACTAATTTAGACATTCAGCATTAGACCGACAATCTATTGTTGGTTTGATAAAAAAGAAAACAGGTGAAAACAATATCCAACTAAAAATTAAATATTTCTAATTAACCTGGTTATTAGCCATTACAATCCAAATATTAAGAAAGCTCTTTTTTAATATAACCCTGCTCCACCAACTTATGTTAATGCCTCATCATAAGTCAATTATTTTGATTCTGTGAAGGTTTATTCTTGATATACTTACATTAAATAAATGAAATAACTTCAATTTAAATTGATATATCATACTTAAATGAAAATTGCGTAATAATGGTCGTAATGAAATTATAAAAATTCCTACTTTATTTATATAAAATAAATTTTATTGAGGTCTTAATGAACAAATCTATTAAAACATAATATATTATCATAGGCATTATTTCAATAAGGTCAATCATATATTTTTATTATTTTAAAAATTATTTATTTTTAAATTCAAAACACAAACAACAAATATATAAGAATTAGCAAAGTCAATTTTTATGTATATAAGTCATTTATATTACTCTTTAGTATTCTTATTATTATCAAAGTATGATTCTATAATAATACTACAAATCGTTAACTTAAAATATAATTATTGTATAAATAAATAAATTCTTGTCATCTTCTATTTCATTTAATAGGAAAGTTCAACATTGTTTAAAAGATATTTAAGTTACCTCATATGAAAATGGGAGATTCATAATCAATTTAAATTATGAAATGAAAATATAACTATTTTAAATTGGAATAAAATGGTGAATAAATTTCTTATGAATAGAGCAATAACTAAATCATTAACAATAATGTATATATTGTAAAATTTTTAATTATATTTAATAACACTAAGAATTTAATTAATTTAATTTTAGTTAATTATATTTTATGAATTAAGGTTGATCAATAGAATAATATAATTACATATCTATTTCAAATGTATAAGACTTCAAAGTTTAAAAAAGAATTGCAAAAGATATTTTAATACTTAAAGATCAAAATCCAAAATACTCCAATTAATTGTTCAAATCATAATAAAAAATTTCTAATAAATATAAACTATCTCTTTAAATGGGTTTTGAATTTAATATTAAAATATAAAGAATAATAAGATCAAATAGTAAACATTCAGAGCCAATATAAGAGGAAAATTGATAATTTACTTATATTAAGATAATTTATTCTATTATTAAGGACAGTTATGTGTTCTGATATCTAATAATATATGAGATATTGAAATAATGTTTTAATAACTTTAAAGATACTATCCAATTTAAGAATCTTCTTATGATGAAAATTTTTAGAAATCATATTTTATTGATTTTAACACAATTTTGCCATTATATATTTTATTAAAGATAATTTGATAACTTAAATATTAATTTAAAAATTTGAGAATTAATTATTAATGTATTCAACTTTGCTAACTACATAATATCAGCCTAAAAGGATTTGTATCAAGTGTAATTAAGAAATTGAAGGAACTATTTGTTGGAAGGTTTTTAAATGGGCTGCAATTAGATGTTTTATTTTAATGGTTCTTTTTATTCCTTCTCTATAATTGTTGCAATATCAAATTGGCATATTTATTGTAACATTTATAGTTACTTTTGGACTATTTTTTTTTCTTGTTATGTTATGTTCATGTCATTCAGAAACCGCTGGAATTTTGTTTAAGGGAGGAGGATCATATGAATTAAGGGACATCTCAGAAATATACATGCCATAATATGAAATAAGATAAGAAGTGACGAATTAAGAAAGTAATACCCAATCGTATGATTGATAAAAAGGAGAAATGTATGATATTAAATAATAATCATTATTTAATAGGAATTTATATATTTATATTCAAACTCTTTCTTCATTTTGATAATATGAAAAAATTTATAGAATTTATTTTATATCTGAAAAATATATCTATTTAATATTTTTATTTTAATATAAAATGCATAATAATTAAATATAATGTATTTAATATAATAAAATATTAAAGGATGATTATTAACTGAAATATTTTGTAACTTATTATCAAATTAAGATCTCTAATCAATAGATTGGATTTATAAAATGAATAGAAAAATTAAAATATTATCTATTAATGATTTTAATCACTAAAAATATATAATTTATCAATAATTTATTCATTTTNAATAATATAATTACATATCTATTTCAAATGTATAAGACTTCAAAGTTTAAAAAAGAATTGCAAAAGATATTTTAATACTTAAAGATCAAAATCCAAAATACTCCAATTAATTGTTCAAATCATAATAAAAAATTTCTAATAAATATAAACTATCTCTTTAAATGGGTTTTGAATTTAATATTAAAATATAAAGAATAATAAGATCAAATAGTAAACATTCAGAGCCAATATAAGAGGAAAATTGATAATTTACTTATATTAAGATAATTTATTCTATTATTAAGGACAGTTATGTGTTCTGATATCTAATAATATATGAGATATTGAAATAATGTTTTAATAACTTTAAAGATACTATCCAATTTAAGAATCTTCTTATGATGAAAATTTTTAGAAATCATATTTTATTGATTTTAACACAATTTTGCCATTATATATTTTATTAAAGATAATTTGATAACTTAAATATTAATTTAAAAATTTGAGAATTAATTATTAATGTATTCAACTTTGCTAACTACATAATATCAGCCTAAAAGGATTTGTATCAAGTGTAATTAAGAAATTGAAGGAACTATTTGTTGGAAGGTTTTTAAATGGGCTGCAATTAGATGTTTTATTTTAATGGTTCTTTTTATTCCTTCTCTATAATTGTTGCAATATCAAATTGGCATATTTATTGTAACATTTATAGTTACTTTTGGACTATTTTTTTTTCTTGTTATGTTATGTTCATGTCATTCAGAAACCGCTGGAATTTTGTTTAAGGGAGGAGGATCATATGAATTAAGGGACATCTCAGAAATATACATGCCATAATATGAAATAAGATAAGAAGTGACGAATTAAGAAAGTAATACCCAATCGTATGATTGATAAAAAGGAGAAATGTATGATATTAAATAATAATCATTATTTAATAGGAATTTATATATTTATATTCAAACTCTTTCTTCATTTTGATAATATGAAAAAATTTATAGAATTTATTTTATATCTGAAAAATATATCTATTTAATATTTTTATTTTAATATAAAATGCATAATAATTAAATATAATGTATTTAATATAATAAAATATTAAAGGATGATTATTAACTGAAATATTTTGTAACTTATTATCAAATTAAGATCTCTAATCAATAGATTGGATTTATAAAATGAATAGAAAAATTAAAATATTATCTATTAATGATTTTAATCACTAAAAATATATAATTTATCAATAATTTATTCATTTTTTTCATACTTTTTTAAACTCACCTCTTAATTTTATATCTTAAAATTACATTTCTACTCCTATATACCTCATATCTAAATTAGCAACCTTTTATTCCATTTTGATATTCACTATATATATTATTTAAGATTTATCTAAAAATTTTTTATCTGAAAATCATTGCAAACTTAATGCCTCTATTAATTCATTTTGTTGTGTTATCCTACGAAAATTATTCCAATTTCCTATACTTTAGCCATTCTCATACTTAACTTTTTTATCAAAATAGCTTATTCAATTAAGCTTACTTTCAATAAAATTTAAATTTGTTCTATACACTTACAATGTTTTTTCATCATTTTTGTATAATTTAGTGAACTATTTAGTATTATTTTACTCTAAATTATCCCCTGCATCATCAATATAGCTCACCATTTTCCTATATGCATTTTTTTTTTAAGATCACCTTCACAAAATGAATATTAAATCTTTTCATCTCCTGTCTTAACAAAATATTACTTGATAGCTATTAATAAGTTAAATAAAACTATCTTATTCCAATTTGATCAATCACGTTTAATTTTTTAGTTTTTTCAGAGTACCAGAACAAATTTCTACTTAAAATATTTAGGGATTTCTCTATCATTATAATTTATTAATTATTAGATTTATTTATTTAACATCCTTTCATCATTAAAACTTGTATTTTAAATGTATTCTATGTTATTATTTTAAGTCTCAGGTTATTTTATAATTGTCTCTAGAAAAATTCAATAAGTAAACTAGTTTAGTTAAATTATATTAATTATCTTTTCTTAACTTTTCTAAAGATATATCCCAGTTTTCTCTGAATTGAGATTGTTGAATTTCTTTCTAAAAATGTTCAAATGAAATGTAACATATTTTTAGATTAATGAATGCATACACTAATTACAAATGTTCTAAATAAATTACAATTCTAATCTAGGTAAATAATTATTTATGAATGATCTATCATTGAACTATATAATCTATGTATTCCTAAATCTATAATTTTACAATTATTTTTGAAATTTATTAGCTCAGTTTGAACTTTATATCTAAATTCTTTTAATTTGAATGTCTTTTAGTAAAATATTAAAATATTAGGAAGGGTTCATCTTCGTTTAATTAATTTGAAAGGAAATTAATTATAAATATCCATTTACTATAGTAATTCGTTAGTATAATGTTAATTTTGGAAATTGTAATGACTTTTTGTTAAAATAAAATTAATGAAGTATATCTAATTTTTAAATGAAGTATAGAATTTATACTTCAAATTAGTAATTACTTAATTGATTACTCATTTTCAACGTTTTACATAGTCTAATGTTAAATTCCCTATTATTTTAAATTTTAAATTATGATACTTTCTTTTAGAACTTAACAAAATTCATAAAATTGATTAAAGTAATTTAAAAAAAAACTATGAATAAAAAAAATAAATTAAAAGCTAATAATAATGAATTTATTTAAAGATCAAACCTAATATACAATAACTTAGATTTAGATAAATCCTAATATTTTGTAAAATGGCAAATTTGAATAACTTGGTATACTATGGGATTACTATTGGAACAGATATTTCTAAGTTAAATTCTATATTGCATAAACAAAAAATAAGAAAATAAAATACTCAACTAATGATGAGTTTATTTTAAGAGTGTATTGATTATTATAAATTCTAATTTAGAGATTCATTAGAACATTTTACTTAAATATTAAATAACTTAGAATAGATCAAATATCTATTTTGGTTTGAAATATCAAAACCTAATTTAAATTAACTTGGTAGATGGGCAGTAAATTGG